TTTCCGCACAAAGGGACTTGGGAAACAAAAGCCATTTTCATTCAATCTTAACTACGTACATTTAAGTACAGGATTGTATACCACTGAAAGAATAAAGAGCAAGCAGGTGAAAACGCACCTGAATAGGGAGGGGACGACGGTCTGCCGATCAACACTCGCTTGGCGCTTAGCGCAGTTGAACACGAACTCGGTCCGAATATGGCTTGTCGCTAGAAATCATGGGAGCCGAGGAAAGGAAGTGCAGGGTTGCTGAGGAGGTATATAAGGGAGGGAGAATTTTGAACTCACCCCATCCCCTCGGCCTGGTCTCGCCCACCATTTCATCGCCCCCTTCCACCTCCGCAACGCGGCGCACGTCGTCCAACAGGCAAGACATCCCTCTCTGCTGCGTTCGCTGCTGACGGTTCCCAATCGCTCCTAGCGAGAAAGGTCGGTTTCTTGATATACAGCATGTTGCTCGAGATTTCCTCACATTCGCCTAGCCCATCCCATATGCGAGCATCAGCCACGCCGTCTCTGTCACTTTTCTGCACGAACTTGTCGGATGCGCCCCGGTAAGGTCTCCTCGCTACCCTCCCTTCCGGTGTTGAGCCGTGAATAGTACGTCGTTGGCACTGTGGGTTGCTTGTGTCATCGTCTAACTGCGTCGTCAACAGCTATCCAACGACGTCGTTTGTCGAGGAGCAGTAGGGGTACCAACGTGAGTTCTATTTACTGCCCGTGTCGTTGTTGTTCTCTGACAGTCGTCGCGTCGTCATTCATGGAATAGCATTGAAGGGCGGAAGGTTCTTCTGGATGCAGTTCGCGGTTGTGGACAGGCCCCGACGTTGTCGTAAGTCGTGATCATCCCTTTCAACCACCTGGCGTTAATGGTTGTCGGGTCTCTGTACAAAGGTATGCGTTGTCGAGGTCATGATCACCGCGTGCGTGTATCATTGTGGTACTTGAGGTCGTGCATGTCGTTGCCTTGTCCAACAAGAGTCAGTGTTATGAGTGTTGTGCTTCGAGATGCACTTACTGACTCGCACCCCATCAGCTTAGCCGCCGTCCTCACACGCGACTCTACGTGGAAATTTCTCGATTTCCCGCCGGAAGGCCAAGTCCTCGTCGTTTTTTCGTACGAAGCTGAGTTGTGTTGAGTTTGTTGTCGGTTGCCTATGGTTTTCATTGTGCGGCACCCGTCGACTCGTCGCCATCGTAATCCATAACTATTGAACCCATACTGCGCCACGCTCTCGCTGCGGTGCCGTAGGTCGCAGCCACGCAACGTCAGTGCCAAGGGGCACAGGGCGGACATTGTCGATGCTGTTCGTTGGGGGGAGAGAGTATGATGGTGGAACGTTGAGACCGGGAGAAGATGACAAGGCGAGTTTTGTCCACATGATGGCAGCGTGTCGTGTCTTGACCCGCATTCTGGCCATAGAGAAAGGATGCACCCTCGCGACTATGGTGAGCGAGGCGCGAATCAAACGCCACCTTGAACCAGGCACGAAGTCGCATTCGTTCCTCTAATGGGTAGTTGGGAGTAGACGCCAGCCGAGAAAGGAGATACCCTTACGCTAATGAACGACAGGCCGGGTCTCTTTAACATCGATGATGACGACGGGTGGGAGGTCCTGGCCCTTCGGTGAGTTACATTCAATCTCTCCTTTGGCAACACTTGACTCACCAGTATCTTGTCTTTAGCCACTCATGCCCATCGCCGCCACAGCCCAATCTTTCCAACGTTGATGAATAATCCCACACGACGACGACGCGACAGCTCTGAAGTGCAAACCCATCATTCCGCGAGAGTGGTATGATACTTGCCCAAATGTTACTTTCGTTAGGTCCGCTCACGTTGAGGATCGCGGCTGAACACTAGTGATAGGATCGCGAGCTTTCGAACGTCGAGGGCGAGTGCGGAAATGG